CATCCTCCTGAGCTCCCAGTCCTTTCTGTCTTATGATCACTCTCTCCTTTTGATACTTTACTATTGTCACTGCACATTATTATTTTTACAGCCGGTCTGTCGGCTTTGATATTTTTGTGGTACCTACACTTTATCTATTTTATATATATCTATTTTTGCTATGGATTTCATATGATTATATTCTCATATTTATATGTTTGACTCCATCAGGTGCATCACAATGACTTCAGTGAGAGAGTGCTACCCAATTTTCAGGACCACCCTTACACCTCTCTCATTTCTTTATCTGTTTATCCCATTTACACTTGCATGACCACTGTGCACTGATTATCCCATTTTGTTATCTAATGAATTTATCCAAGTGCCAATTTTCAGGACCACAGTTCATCCCAAGTTTGGGGGGCCATGCCACCCACTTCGGATACTTCAGTCCCGATCATTCTTGCTTAGTTGCACTGGTATACTCTTTCCTTTGTTCTCTTTGCACATTGAGGACATTGTGCAATTTAAGTTTGGGGGGAATGGTGCTTTACAGTGTTAGTTTTAAATTCAAATTTTGAGCATTACTTGTGTATTTGAGGGATATTTCTATGATTGGTCCATATCTAGCTATGATTTTGATCTTTTGAGGACTATATTGCTTAAAATTTAAAAATTGCTTGACTTGAGAGTCCAATACTCCTTGTATGCCTTATGAATGCCATTTAGGAGTAAATTTTTCGAAAGATTGATATCTTGCTTGTATTTGTGGCCCACATCATCTTAATTTTGTGATTATTTTGAGATTCACTCTAGCATTCCACACTAGCACAGGCGCACACTAGCATTCATTTGTGGGGTACATGCTTTGTTGATTATTGAATCGGTTATATCCCAATTGAGCTAGTAGTGCATTGAAAGCTTTCATTCTTGATAAAGGTGGATACTAACCCCTTTTTACTAAGTAGCTGGGATTCTAGCTTCATCAAGCACTGAACTTCTTGCGCCAAAAGGTGGAGGGCCCAAACTCTAGGTTAATAATTGAATTCAAAAAATAAAAAATAAAATGTTGCAAAAGCAATAAAAAAGTGAGGACTTCTCCCAAAAAGGTGAAAAGTGGAAAATGATTAGATAGTTGTTGTCTTGATTTGTTGCCTAGTTGATTTGAGCTTGTAAGTCCGTAGGGGTATTTGAATGCCTAATGCCCTAAAGCTGTCTGGTTTGGGAGTCATTGACCTAACGCTCGACCTCATGAATCGCTAGAAAGTTTAATAGATCAACACATTGCACCATACTTCCATCTTTGATCCTAAAAAAATAAATAAATAAATAAATAAATTTTGAGTGAAAAGAATAAGCGCACCTAGATGAATAAAGCTTTAATAAAATATCCACTTTTTGTCTTGATGATCGGTACTAGATTTGTGTGCTAGTTTGAGGGTAAGGATGTGATTAATTCTCGAAACCGAAGATATTGAACCGTATGGAGAGCTTGCTCCTTAACTTGGTATCATAGCCTGGTTTGTTTGGTCTGGAATGGAGTCAAGGACGTTCCCTGTAGCAACTCCAACAAAAAAACATACATATGGGTGCCTTTCCCATCGAATGATTCTCTGAGAAGAGTAGCTGACCTTGGCTTAGATAGCAACACATTTGATGCCGGTCCACTCAAAAGGATTCTAGAGTTGTTTTGATTTGCATGATCATTTTCTTGATGTGTGGAGGACCATACTTGTTTGCTTGATGTTGAGATTTTGGTAGATTGCTTGAAAATGGTTGAAAAATTGCATACTTGAGGTAGTTTTCTCCCAATGCTTGTTTGCAATATTGGTGTCTCTTTTAAAAGAATGAGCTTAATGTTTGTGGGTACCATTTCTGGAAACCCTCACGAGACTTCACTCGTCCACTAGGGGTAACCTAGGGGTTTAAAAGGCTTGTTGCATATGCTAAGTGCAATTGTGTTCCCTACGAAAGTGGCGTTATCCATTTATTGTTTTCTAGATTCATACTTCTATAGTTGTTTATTTCATTCCTTTACTTTTTAGTTCATTGCTAGGGACTAGCAATATTTAAGTTTGGGGGTGTGATGAGCAATGAAAAGTGCGTATTTAAACCCCTTAAGCTTAGACATTCTAGTATCTTTATCTATCTTACTTTACGTTTTAGATTGATTTTGTATTATTTTCATTTTCAGGCACTTATCCCGAAAATAAGCTAACTCAGCCAAATAAGAGCTTAATTGAAGCAATTCTGGGATTAAACAAAGAAAAGAGCAAAATGGAGAAAGAAGAAAGCAAATGAAGCCAAAAGTGGGAAGCAGCAAAGTTCGATCGATCCAAGTTTAAGGTTCGATCGATCGAACTATGATCGATCTCAGCACTTCAAGATAGATCCAAGCCTAGACCCTAAAACATAAAGTCCAAAAGTTCGATCGATCCAACACCATCCTTCGATCGATTGAACACTTTTGTCCTTATTCAAATGATTGATCCTATTCACAGTTGTACCACCCACTAACCACTTTTGTCCTTTTCCTATAAATATCTCTCCAAAATATCTCGGATTTGTCTTTTCCCAAAAAGCTCAACCAGTTGGATCGATCCAGCCTAAGTTCGATAAATCTCAGCCAGTTCAATCGATCCAAGTCTAAGGTTCGATCGATCGAACTTCCTCCGCTGCGAAAAAGTTAAAATTCCATCTCATTGAAAGTTGTCCTTTATCCAATCATTAGGGAATATTGTGTGCATGACCTCAACTCATTTTGGGTGTCATTTTGACCTACCTATATAAGGATAAGGATTGTTTTTTACAAAGGGAGCCAACATTGTTTTCATATCATCTCTTGGAGAGGAAGAGGAGGTTAGAGACACCATTGGAGTTCTTCATCAACAAGGAGCAGATTTCAACCATGGAGTTAGCCCTTGAGGGTTGGAGCAACATCACCATGAGTGGCTAGACATCCTCTTGGGCCTAGAGTTAGCCCCAAGCATGCTTTCTATATCTTAATCTTATGTATTATTGAGGGATTAGTATTGTAATTGATGTTTTGATACTTTGATATATATAGATCTTGTTTATTCAATGATTTATGCGGTTTAATGCTTCTAATTGATCATTTCATTCTATCCATATGTCTATGTACGCTAGAATAGATGTCCATGTGCTTGTCTCTAGATTTTGTGTTATTGATGCATGTCTATGTGTATTGATGCTATAGATTTGGAGATTGTCAAAACATAATACTTAAAAGAATGCTCTTGTGATTCTTTTGATGGTTCATGCTTATGGCTTGATGGATTGTACCTCTCCCCTAGTTTATTTTCATGCTAGTAGAGTAGATGTAGTGTAGTTGTAGTGTAGTGTTAAATGGGAGGACAATCTATGCTTGTTGTTTGATGATCCAAGCTTTTGAATGCAAGTAGCATATGTCTTTATCCTTGTGTTGTATTTGGATTGTGAGCTTAATGAAAGGATTAATGACTTATGTTGATTTATTGTGCCTTTCACATGTTGTTTAGACAATATATGCTTCATTGCTTAGATATATTGTGTCTTTCACATGATGTTTAGATAATACATGCTTAACTAGTCATCCTTACTTGTTGAATCAACCAAACACACACACACACCAATATTGCAACACACCATTTGCCCTCATTAATCACTTGTCAATGATATAGAAATGTATTGCTTGGTGGTAATCTCTAAACCCCAAAATCTCTCTCTCTTACTTACTCTTAATTGCATTCTTTGCTATTATTTAGTTTAATTTAGTTGCTCTTTAATCAACCAACCAACCAATTGTTTGATCACTCGACCTACTAGCCCTAATAACAATTCCACGATATTGCTCGATTCTCAAATCCCTTGGGACGATCCCTACTCGCCCTAGCTATATTTTTAGTGAAAGGTAGTAGTGGCTTCTATAAATGTAAAACTCTTGGCCCTCGCCTTAATGCACACTCATCAAGCTTGATGTGGTGGGGCTGCACGAATCGCGCATCACCCAACCTAAATACTGAGGAGGGAAATCATGAGGTGCAAGGTAACGAGGCTTCCCATGAAGAGGCTCTTGCAGAGCATAGCCAAATTGCTGATCAGCATAGGGTGGCAGGTCACCCATCTCCCCTACGTAGCTCTAGGCCATTAACCTCTACCTACATTGGTGAACGGACTGAGGAGGTCACCCACATCGACTGACAGATCCAGAACCTCAATGCTAAGATGGAAGATGTGATGCAAGCTATGAGGGGAAAAAGCTCCGCTACCACCATAGACGACCTTATTTGAAAAACAAATTTGCCATTTAGCCCGACTATCATAAGATATCCATTGCCTAGCAAATTCAAGATGCCAACACTTGAAAGCTTTGATGGGACTCGTGATCCTCTTGATCACCTGGAGACTTTCTAGGCACTTATGCATCTCCAAGCTGTACCAGACCAGATAATGTGTCGGGCCTTTCCTACTACTCTCAAAGGGTCGGCACGGGTCTGGTTTAATAAATTAAAACCAGGCTCGATCGAGACCTTTGCAGAGTTGAGCAAGGAATTGTAAGTCATTTCATTGCAGGTCAAAGGCACGGGAGGCCGGCCACTCACATGCTCACAGTGAAACAACAGAAGGGAAAACCATTACGGGAATATATCAATCGGTTCAACACCGAAATGCTGCAGGTGGATGAAGCTGATGACAAGGTAGCACTCACCGCTTTTATGGGAGGATTGCATACATCTAGATTCCTTTTTTCCTTGTCAAAGGAACCTCTAACCAGTATGGCAGAATTACTGGTCAGAGCCAGGAAACACATTAATGCGGAGGATGTAATGAGTGCGCAAAAGGGGAAAGAAGGAGAAGATAAAAAGGCGGATAAAAAGAGACCACAGCCTGGTGCCAAGGACGAGAAGGAGACCAAATTCAAAAAGTCTTCAATCAATCAAAGTGAAAGGACATCTCGTTATAAGAGCTCAGATAAGTATACCAACTACACCCCGCTCACTATGTATATAGATTAGGTTTTAATGCAGATTCAGGATGATCCCTCCCTGAAGTGGCCATCGAAGCTGAAATCTGATCCCTCAAGAAGGACTCGAGACAAATATTGCAGGTTCCATAGAGATTATGGGCATATCACGGAGGATTGTATCGAATTAAAAGATCATATTGAGAATTTGATTCGAAGGGGTCACCTGCGAAGGTTTATGGCAGGAGATGATAGATGAGGTACTAATCCCGCACCAGGGAGGCGAGATAATCATGCACCAAAACAACAACCAGTAGGTGAGATCAGAGTCATATCCGGAGGGTATGCAGGAGGAGGTGAAACAGCTACGGCCCAAAAAACTTATGCAAGAAGAGCAATAGCAGAGGTGAATGAGGTGGGAATGTTCAACTCTCCATCAAAAACACTAAGGTATGCTGATACTACCATTATGTTTTCAGAGGCTGATGCTAAAGGGATCCAGCAACCCCATGATGATCCTCTAGTTGTCTCCATGGTCGTAGCTAACTACACCATAACGCGTATACTTATTGACAATGGGAGTTCAGCTGATATAATATTTTCCCATGTATTCGACCAAATGATGATAGGCCGGGAAAGGTTACGACCCATGACTTCTCCTCTCGTGGGGTTTTCAGGAGATAAGGTGTATCCATTGGGAGCAGTTACCCTTCCAGTGACTGCAGGAACCAGCCTAAAGCAGGTCACTTTTATGGTTGATTTTATAGTGGTGGATTGCCCTTCAGCGTATAACGTTATTCTTGGGAGGACAGCCCTAAACTCTATTAGAGCCATTACTTCAACTTACCACCTTCTCATGTGTTTCCTAACAGAGCATGGGGTGGGTGAGTTGAGGGGTGACCAAGCCACCGCTCGGGAATGCTATCTCACTTCTCTCAGAGAAAAGATGTCCCAGGAAACTATAATAATTGAAGGGTTAGAGGTAAGAGGCCAGAAGGAGGTAGAAAAGCAGAAAGTTCGACGAGCTGAACCGATGGAAGACCTACTGGAGGTGAGCTTGGATGATGAGGCTAAGAAGAAAGTGAGCATATGATCCTTGCTTCAACCTGGCATAAAGGGTGAACTCATTCAATTTCTCAAGCAAAACTAGGATGTGTTCGCTTGGACTTACGAGGATATGCCTGGCATAAGTTCGGCCACAATACAACATCATTTGAATGTTCATCCCAGCTTTAAACCCATCAGACAGAAAAGAAGGACATTCGCCTCTGAACGAAACCAGGCTATATCGGAAGAGGTGGAGAAACTCTTGAGAGCTCACTTTATTCAAGAGGTATATTATCCTGACTGGTTGTCAAATGTAGTCCTCATAAAGAAAGCCAATAGGAAGTGGAGATTATGCGTAGACTTTACAGACTTGAACAAAGCCTGCCCAAAAGATAGTTTTCCTCTCCCACGTATTGATATGCTGGTGGAGGGAACTATAGGACATGAACTGCTGAGCTTCATGGATGCATACTCCGGATATAACCAGATTCCAATGTACCAACCGGACATAGAAAAAACCTCATTGATTACTGATCGGGGTTTGTATTGTTACAAGGTCATGCCATTTGGGTTAAAGAATGTAGGAGCAACATACCAAAGGTTAGTCAACATGATGTTCAAGTAGCAAATCAGATAGAACATGGAAGTCTACGTGGACGACATGCTAGTGAAAAGTTAGAAGACTAAAGATCACCTAGCAGACCTATGGGAAACCTTCGAAGTGTTGAGGAAGCATAAGATGAAACTCAACCCCAGCAAGTGTGCTTTCGGAGTTGCCTCAGGGAAATTCCTTGGGTATATGGTGAGCAGAAGAGGAATAGAGGCTAATCCAGAAAAGATCCAAGCTGTTCTGGATATGAGGTCACCCAAATCCACAAAGGATCTCCAGCGACTCACGGGGAAGATTGCTGCCTTGAGTAGGCTGATTTTTTGAGCAACTGACAGATGTTTACCTTTCTTCCGTACCCTCAAATGTTTCTACAATTGAATGAATATCTGTCAGTTGCTCGAAAAATCTGTGAGCAAGTGTTTCTACAATTAAAGGAATACCTTTGCTCACCACCACTTCTGTCAAGAGCAATACTAGGAGAGGACTTGTATTTATATTTGGCTGTCTCCTCATCAGCAGTAAGTTCAGCTCTAATGCGAAAGGAGGATGGGGTTCAGAAGCCGGTGTATTACACAAGTCGGGCACTCAGGGGTGCCGAGGAAAGATATCCGAAAATGGAGAAATTAGTATTTGCCTTAGTTGTGTCAGCTAGGAAACTCAGGCCTTATTTCCAAGCTCACAAGATAGTGGTACTAACGGACCAACCTCTAAGGTAGGTTCTCCACAAGCTAGAGACTTTAGGTCAACTTATGAAGTGGTCAATAGAACTCGGGGAGTTTGACATCCAGTACAGACCCTGGACTGCAATAAAAGCTCAGGTGATAGCAGATTTTGTTGCTAAGTTCACACCTTCCCAAGAAGACCAGGTCAACATTTCCCCAGAAACAAACCCTCAGATTCAAACGGACAAAAAAGCTACTTGGACTCTGTTTGTTGATGGGTCATCAAATGCACATGCTAGTGGAGCAGGGTTGATCATCACCTCCCCAGCAGGAGAAAACATTGCCTATGCCCTTTGGTTTGGCTTCAAAGCAACAAACAACGAAGCAGGATATGAGGCCCTCATAGCTGGGTTAAAACTAGCAGAAGTCCTCAGAGTGGAGCAGCTCATAGCATACACAGATTCTCAGTTGATAGCAGGGCAAGTCCGAGCAGAATACGAAGCCAAACATGAGAAAATGAAGGCCTACTTAAGAAAGGTAGAAGAATTAAAAAATCATTTCACAAGATTTTCAGTCCATCAAATCCCACGTGAAAAAAACGCAAATGCAGATGCTCTAGCTAGATTGGCTACCGCGTTAGACCCAGAAGTGAATAGGGCAATACCATTGGAGTACCTAGATAAGCCGAGTACACTTCAAGAAGTTCAAAAAGAGGTACAACAGTTGGTGCTCAACATGGGATGGGCAGAGCCTATCATAAAATACTTTAAGGAGGGAGAACTTCCTAAAGACATAAATGAGGCCCGAAAAGTTAAAATTCGAGCAGCAAGGTACACCCTCATCAAAGGGGTGCTGTATAAGAAGGTTTTTTCTTTACCCTACCTGCGTTGCGTCTCAGCTGAGGAGGCAAGGTACATTCTAAAGGAGATACACGAAGGAGATTGTGGTAATCACGCTGGGGGCAGGTCTTTAGCACACAAAGCTATCCGACAAGGGTATTATTGGCCTACTGTACAAAAGGATGCTATGGACTATGCGAAAAAATGTGATAAATGTCAACGGTTTTCCAATGTTCCAAAACAACCACCTGAAGAGCTGACTCCCATGACGGGTCCATGGCCTTTCGCACAATGGAGAATGGACCTTATAGGTCCATTGCCCATGGGAAAGGGCTAGGTCCAGTATGCCATTGTGGCTATAGACTACTTCACCAAGTGGATAGAAGCTGAGCCATTAGCAAGTATTACAGAGACGAACATAAGAAATTTTGCTTAGAGTTTAATCATTTGCAGGTTTAAAATCCCAAGAGTGTTTGTCACAGATAATGGAAAGTAATTTGATTGCACAAAGTTTAAAGATTTTTGTGCTCAACTAGGGATAAAGAACCACTACTCATCACCTGGACATCCTCAAGCAAATGGGCAGGCTGAGGTGGCGAACAGATCAATACTTCAAATGATAAAAAAGAAGCTTAAGGATAAGAAGGGAACATGGCCTGAAGAATTGCCCAGTGTATTGTGGGCTTACCGTACAACTGCAAGAACCCTGTGGGGGGAAACACCATTCCTATTGGCCTTTGGAAGTGAAGCAGTTGTTCCTGCTGAAGTCGGTGTAACCAATTTCAGGACTGAGCATTATGAGCCACGAGCAAATGAGAGAGAATTACTATTGAGCTTAGACCTAATTGAGGAAAGAAGGGAATTAACTCAGATTCGAACGGCAGCTTATCAACAAATGGTGTCTAGATACTATAATGCCAAGGTCTAGCCAAGAAGATTTCAACTTGGAGGCTTGGTACTTCGCAAAGTCACCCCAGCAACTAAAACCCGAGGGGAAGGGAAGTTGTCCGCTAATTGGGAAGGACCTTACAAGGTTATTAGCACCAACAGACCGGGGGCATAACTTTGGGAGGGCATCAGATGGAGCACCCTTGGAATGTTGAACATTTAAGGAGGTACTACCAGTAAAAGATTTGTGTGGCTGATTTTATTTATTTATTAATAATAAGAAGAGCTAGCTTGATAGCATAGCTTTATCTTCTAGTAATGTTATGTTCTCTCTGAATAATTTCACTTTCTAATAAAAAGGGATATCATGTCTTCTTTTAATGGTGTTCTTTAATGGTTTTTATTATGATCTCATTCATTTTTTAGACTCTTTTACTATTGATAATACATCAATAAAATGAGCACAAAATATTTGATAAAAGGTGAAGTTAGGCTACTCTACCCCCTTATTAAAGGGCGAGCTGAGTGAAGCTCGTAAAACTCATTCCCTTATTAAAGGGCGAGCTGAGTGAAGCTCGTAAAACTCATTCCCTTATTAAAGGGCGAGCTGGGTGAAGCTCGTAAAACTCATTCTATATATATGTGTGTTTATGTATGTGTGAGAGAGTATATGATGTCTACTTCAATATTAAAAGTTAAAGGGCAAAGCACAGAAGTTCAAACAACACCATTTTATGATAAAAGAAGTGCATTTCTACTATTAGAAGAACGACGAAACCCAACTAAACAATACTCAGTACAATGAGGAATCCTAAACTAAAAGGAAAAGAGATAGGAGATTGAGCTAGTCATCAACCTCGCTATCACTCTCTAACTGAATTGAAGAGATTGAGCTAGTCATCAACCTCGTTATCACTCTCCAATTGAATTGAAGAAAAGTTTAGTCTCGGAAAATCAGAAATGGCCTGAGCTCGAAAAGCTTCAAAACCGTCGATGTACATCCTAGCTTGGGCCACTTTGAAGCTATAGGAAGCCTTGTATACATCAACAGTTGATGACCTAGCTAGTGCTATCTCTCTAGTAAGTCTTTCACTTGAGATTTGAGTCTTTCAGCCCTAACTCGTTCTTCTTGAAGGGCAGCTTCAGCTTTGACCCGCGCATCTTTCTCTACATTAAGCTCCATAGTAACCAAATCAAGTTGATTTTAGTGCTTGGTATGGAGAGAAGCCATCTCCTCACGGAATGATTTTTCCACTTCCACAGCTCGAGATGATAAGTAGACAGCACGCGTGATGCACTACAAAAATGCAAGTTACAAAGTGAAAAAAAAAAAAAAAAAAAAAAAAAAATGTGGTCAAAGTGGTCAGGAGCTAACCTTGCCAAGATCATGCAGTAACGTTTTTGCCACCTCAGATGAAGGATGAGAGCTCAATCAAGTCAAATCTTCCTTCACTAAAAAATTCTTTGTTCGTTCAAATGAAAAACCTGGGCTATCCAAAACTGATGTGTCGAAAGTGGAAGGCTCCCCAACAGGATGAGACACACGAGCTTGTACAACAGCATTGACCGAACCAACGTACTGAGGTGAAGGTCGAGAAGGAGATGAGAGACGTCAAACACCGGTATGTTCCCACTAGTCATAGTTTTAGACTCACGCTTCCTTTTAGGAGGAGTGGGATGGGGGAGATCATTTGATTCCCGAGCTTGATCAAGAATTTTCTTGCTAAATTTCTTTAACATACATTTTTCTTTTTTAAAAAAAATAAATAAATAAGTATACAATAAATAAATTCGTAAATAGGAGAAAGGTGAGATCGGCTTTATATTAAAACTGTTGCTCAACTCAATCAACAAGACCTACTGGAGTAATAACACCAAGATTAGTCTCTTAAAAATCTCGAACTTTGTTTTTCCTTATTTGTACGATATGCATATATTACTCATCCATACAACCTACTTGACAACTAATGAAATATATATTTGTGATATATATTAAAGAGTTGGATTCCTATTACATATAAGAATTGATAATGCATAAGGTAGATTTTGGTATATAAAAATAGACATTAAAAGCCTATTGACCTGGGACATTTTTTGAAAAAATTCTCCAGGTCAATGAGCAATATTCTTGGTGGAAAAACGGGGTATTGCTTAACTGCTTTCACGTTAAGGCACCAAACAAGTTAATATATTAATATTGCATATTCACAGTATTAAGAAAAAACATAAAGAAGTGAACTCCACATTAGGTATAAATTCATACCATATACTGGAAGATAGTAAGTGAATAAAATTCATACCATATACTGGAAGATAGTAAGTAAATAAAGAATTCTTTATTCTTTCCTTGCTAATTTCAGCTTGATATTTTCTTGATTACCTTTTATATACACAACCACTCTTACATGTATATTTAATATTACATATAGCCTATAGATGGGATAAAACTAATGATTTTTTCAGAATATATATATATATATATATATATATATATATATATAGTATGTACCATATTTTGTACAGGATGGCTCAGGTTTGGGACCCAAGCCATGGGCAAATAAGGCCTGGGCAGTTACCAACGTGGAAAAATCCGACACTCCATGGTCAACGGCGTTCAACACCTTTTCGAGGTCGTGAGACGAAGCATCAGGCACTAATTTGAAGTCTGAAAATTTGATAATTAAAGATTGTGAGCAACCCAAAATCGACAACAAAAATAAAATACCGAACTTACCAGAGGAGTTCGGAGCACCACACACGAGGAATAGATTTTCCTCCGAAGAAAAAGAGATTCTCATGAGGAGAAAATTCCCAATCGTCACCTGAAAAAAAAAAAAAGAAACGATTTTTCCATCCTTTGTTGTTGGATGGGTTTCCAGTAATGAGCTCATTCTTCTTAACTCAGATGGAAAAATACCACCAATCACCCATCCTCTTAGGCAAGTAAGAATGGAAGAATTGGGTAACTGTTAGTGAGCCGTTGCCACAAGTGTGCCAAAGAACCATGCATCCCAACATTGCTCTCCAGGCATTTGGTGAAAGTTGGGTTGGGGCAAGGTTAAGATGGTTAAGAATTTCTCTGATAATAGTAGGGATAGGGAATCGTAAACTAGACAAAAGAGCAAACTCATAAAAACATATTTCACTCGGAATAGGAGTACAAGCTCTTTCATTATGAGCGGGAAGCCGCAGACGAACAGTTTTGGGAATCGAATATTTCGACCTAAAACGTTCTAAGTCCCCTGAAGTGAGTGAACATTCCATGTCTTGCACCTTTTCTACAAACCTTTTGTAAGGTGAAAAGGAGCCGTACTCGGATCCTTCCTCATCACTAGTCTCTTCGCGCAAACTGATCACTTCATGTGAAGACATGGTAGGATCATACAAAGAGTTTGCAACAAATAAAAGAGCGTCGAAAATTTCGCTCACTGATTGGTGCAAGCACAAGCTCGTGAACTCTTCAAACAAGGGATTTGGAGGACCGAAATGATAAAAATATAAAAGACGAGCAAAGAGAAAGAAGGGTGGATGATTTGAAGAATCCAAGGAGAAAGTTCCACTACACTTATCAGGTTACAGAAATTTTTAATCAGCAATAAAGGTACCTAAAACCCTTTCTCTACTACGCTTTATAAAGAAAATTCAATACGTAATAGATACAAATTGAAATTGGGTCTCATGATGCTCTATGAATTCTAATTGTTTTAGAACTAAATACATTGCCCAGGAATTATATTTATGTTAGAACACACTAGACATAAATTAGGAGTATTTATGTTTATTGTTAAATTTATTAATTAGTTTATTTATTTTTCACTTAACAAAATCCATAGTACACAGTAAAAACTCTTACAACAAGGGTGTGATTGCCTGAAGAAATAAAATACTCACACGCAGCAGGCGAGCAATGCTCGCCCAAACATCTGGCGCCCAGAGAATAGAGCAACAGAGCATCAGTTTAACTAAACTATATTTCCTTTGTTTTAAGATAGGGATAAAGCTTTAGTGCTTTTCCTTTGCTGCCACCAGTAAATTAATAGAAGAGATTATAAAATAAAAATAAAAATAAAACCCTTACAGAGAAGACACCTTGCTTTATCTAATATGGCCACATTCTTTAAAATCCTTTTGCACAAACATTATTACTTGTCAAAGTGGGCGAACAGAGGTATACTTAGTTTAAAGTACTATTCATTACTTGCTAACATGCATACCTCGTTGAAAAGTTATCACAACTATAGAAAATTTGTGTATGCATAAAAATTATAGAGTACAGATGAAGATTTGTATACAAATATATATATGTATATATATATATACGAAAAAAGTGAGGAGTTATACAATGATCCTGACTTTCGACAAACAAGAATTCAGGAACAGGGGGCAACTGATGAGGAAATCAACAAAAGGGGATAAGATGATGAGGTGATGAGGTGATAAGATTCGAAAGGTTGTTTTGATCTGATTATATGAAATTCAAATTACCAACAAAACCTCTCCTTAAAGATTGCAACAAACACTCAGCCCAGTTAGCTATAAAAAACAGACTCCCATCAACTAAAGGGGTACGTGCAATATTGAACTTCACTTCATGATTTGCTTATTTTTATTTTCGTCTGTAAACTAACTTAGCCATCGGAGCTCGTTTGGCAGGCATCACACTGGTGTCGAAAGAAAACGTCGTCGTTTCGGATCGTTGCAGACCAATCTTCATCAGGTAGTTATGTAATTAATAGTTAGAGGGTTATATTCTCAATATTTACATCAGTGCTACTTGTATTTATTTTGTATTGATTATGATTGATCACAAAGCAAATTCGAAGGCCTTCGTGTGTTTTTAGACAAAATGATTTATTATATATTTATTTATTTAAATTATTACTTTTGTCAACAAATGTTTTATTGTGATCAAGCTGGAAATAATCAAAGGTACCAAAATAAATATATTAATTAAGTAGTCGGATTGATGGTTTTATTTATCCAATAACTAATTATGCATAGAGGGGTCAAAGTGCAGCATTGACTTAGATGTTATTTATT